TTAAATTAAGATGTTTTTAAAAATGACTAAACTGTTAGCTGAAAAGTATTTTGAATAAATAAAGGAATCTTAAATATCTTCTGTGTGTAAACACGACATTAAAGGACTTATTGCATGATCTTTCAAAAATCGTAATTTTATTAAAAAAAATATTATTTATAACCTTATCTATTAAAATACAGAATACAATAAACGTTGTTGAAAGTATATTTTAAGAGATATTGAGAGTTGAAATTCAAATACTGCAATATGCATATTTCAGTCGGATTTCGGCGAAACACTGCTCTGACGTCATAGGCGACAATTCGGTGATAGAGAGATGAGAATATGCACACTATTAACGGAGTTATCAGTGACAAATGAAGCAAAATTACAAAAAATGCTGAAAAAAATAATTCCTTATCTGCTTTATAATTACTATAGAAACCTTAATTAGTTCTAAGGTACAAGGCTATTAAGATATTTTCGTTTTTTTATTCAAAACATTTAGAACCTGTAGCTCTTATTACGGCAATGTTTCGTGATCGGGATATTATTTATCAAGATCGCCATCCTTTAGAAAACATATGAAGACTTGCATAAATTAATATTATATACAAAACGAAGAATAACAAAGTTATAAAATGTTTAATTTGTGAATCAAACAAGTTAATACATGTGATAAGATGACAAATCAAATTGCATTGTTATGGCGAGTTTCTTCGTCTTCGCTGCGTCTCCCTCGCTATCGTCGCTGCTATTTTTACAATGTTAACGGATTTTTCAGATTTTTTCTTGCTGACACTTCTAACATATAAGGTTAAATATTCAATTTTATATCGATAAAATAAGTGATTTGGTCGTCCACAACGCAGAAAATTCAGGTTGTATCGCGTATATTTTAGTAAGATCAATGAAGAGCTGATCAGCCATTGTCGCCTTTGACGTCACGGGGTCACGTGATCGCTATCTAATTAACTTAGATTTTTAACTAGGGGTTTTCATTTGAGTCAATAATTGGTTAATTATTGCGATTTATCCACAGTAAAAACACAGAATTTATACATTGTGGACATAAGGAACGTAATACGCTTTTAATTTCAAATAATTGAGAAACATGCGATAAGTCCTTTAAAAGACATCACACGACTATTTGAAGATTGCACTGTAAAATTGTTGCAACCGGAAGTGAGTACTAGGCAGCATGTTAGACATTTTCCTTCATATCATTTGAGACACAGGCACACAACCTCTCTGACCACCATGGGTAATCGTCAACTTTATTTCAGCGCATAAAAGGTGCATAATCAGGTTCGGGAAATTAGTTTGTGAACAAGAAGATCATTTGAAGGTGTTGTGTTGAAATAAAATCATCGGCAAATTCGACTGCAATAGGCAGGACGCCAATTTAGATTTGTCAGTGTTGATGAGACACTTAGATGTCGTATTTGCAAATGAAAATATTAAGTGTTGCGTTAGCAATTTTGTCAAGTGTTTTTTTTTTTTTTTGTTTTTTGTTTTTTTGTTTGTTTTTTTTTTTTTTTGTCAAAGCTATACATAGGAATATATTGGGGGAAAATCCTCTTCGACCATTAAACTTGAAATGGAAAAACATTAAAATAAAAAGGATGAAGATAACGAACAGTGATTGATATAAAAAAAAATCCATAAACAAAACAATTATGTGAAGAGGACATAAAACACAGAACCCTGGAAATTCCAGAGGTGAGATCAGGTACCTAGGAGGAGTAAGCTTCCTCTGTTGACCTGTCACAGCCGCCGTGAGCCCTATGCAAGCGGAAAATTCCGTAGTCAAATTTATTATAACGACCATAGAATTTACGAAACACAGTTTTTGAACGAGGTTGTTGAAATCCATGTAACATCAACTTATCAGTCAATAGCCTGCATCGGTTTAAAAAAAAATGATCGAACTTGGAGCATGCTCTTGAGTATCGAATAAGTTGAGAGAGTTAAACATCATATGCATGTGATAATAGGATATTACGTATACTACATAAAGAAAGTTGACGATAAAAAGCTGAAGCTGGTACTTGAGACATTGATTGCTTGTAACTTAATAGTACACAAAACACAAAACTTGCTTGCGACCTGAGATAGCGGACACAGGGTTGACTATCATTACGATACATGATGGTCCTTTACAAATGTCATTTAGATAAGTTCACACTTCAGTAGCATAAAAAATATGAAGGTCCTGAAAATACTATAATTTAAAAGGAAATATAAAACCTTTGGAATGGAGGAGCAACAGGAGTCATATTTCGGGCAAGGGCTGATTGTGACCAAGAGGTTTCTCATATTCTTATCTATTGTAGTTTTTATAAGATTTAGGTCATATAACTCAGATATAACAAATGGTTTTAGGGCAATGGTGTTCTAATGCTAGGAGTATTAAAGGTCATATTTCATACTTGACAAAAAGTGACCGAGTCATTAATTTGTTATAAAACAATGTTATGATATTTTTGTAAGACTACGTCCTCTTAGTTATGAGTAATGTCAAATTTCATTGCCCATATTTGAAAGATCTTGTGACAAAGCAAATTCGAAATACTTTAATCTGATGCTTGAAAGTTCGAATTAAAAATCGGCATTAGAGATGAACAGACAAAAAACATATAAATAACAGAGATGTGATACAGTATATCTACCGTTCACGGTAGCTCAGTCGGTAGAGCGCTCGCTCCGTGATCGGGAGGTCGTGATTTCGAATTTCGGCCGCAACTGACCTAAGTCGATAAAAAATGGGAAGCAACTGCTCCTTCGCCATGCGCTCGGCACTTTGAAGTGAAAGTTGCGGGTCCTTCGGATGAGACCTTAAAAACCGAGGCCCCGTGTCACGGCAGGCGTTGGCACGATAAAGATCCCTCACTGCTCAATGGCCATGAGTGCCGAGTATAGGTCAAAATTTGAAGCCCTTCACCGGTATATGGTGACATTTCTGTATGAGTGAAAAATTCTCGAAAAACAACATACAATCAATCAATCAATCCAATATATCTAGATCTTTTTGCTGAACAGGCAACAAACAAAAGCACAGATACATTTAATACAAGCAAGTAATTAATCAAATAAAATTAAACTATTTCAAATATGAAATTTGTTAAAATACGGCTGTGCAGAAAGAACAAGGTTCACTGAGGGCCTTTTTTGGCCCTGTGAATTTCAGAAAAACTGAAACTGCTTGGTTTAGTTGACAATGCATTAAATATCATTTAGACCTTTGGTGACTGCGCATCTATCAAAAATGACGTAATTTTCTGGCTAGTCAATGCATTATGACGTCATGAAATGCCTCATTTTCCTGATATCCTGAAAAATTCTACAAAACAGCCAATTTTTAAAGCTATTTTCCGATATTTAATATAGAGCGCAACCTCTGATCTAAAATATGCAACTTTTAAATGATGGAACTATTTCTGAGGATTACTAAACATCTTTTATTTTTTAGATCAGAGGGTGCGCTCATATTATTTCTCTTCTGTGAAAGCACTCAAATATACTTGTTTCCTTAAAATTAAAGAACATTGCAATTCCATGAAGCCTGTTTTCCAAGACCTTGGCTTTAAGGAGAAAATTTTTAATAGGAAATGAAAGCACTAAGTCTCTACTTCATCTTGATGTTTAAAATGGAACATAAAATGTTAGTCAAAAGATTAGTATATCTACAGTGCCATTTAATGCATAAAGTGAATATAGCTCTTTAAGAAAAAATATTTTGTTAACAAATTTGAACTAATTGAACCGTAAATATGTTCATTTTTCAATTGATTTAAACAATATTTTATTATATTTACATTTCCAATAGATTTCCTCTATGATCCTTTATAAAATAGAATACAGTTCATTTTCTCATGAACTACCATGAATGGGCATGAATATCTCCATTGTTACATCATAATACCTTACTTGACATCAAAACTATAGTGCAAACTGTTTTGCTTTAAAAATGACAGTTGAATGGCGTTATTTGTGGCAAATCATCAGAAAAATAATGTCAATATAAGAAATGAATTTAATTTTTGAAAATTCATGAGGTACATGAACTACAACGCTTCACGCCGGCATATTTATCATGAAGCGCTAACGCGCTTCATGAAATATGCCGGCGTGAAGCGTCGTAGTTCATGTCCTCATGAATCTTCAAAAATGAAATTCATTTCTTAAATGAATTTAAACTAAAAGGATTGGACAGCAAGTACTCCTTAAAAAAGGCCTCTCCAAGATTATTTAATTTACAAGGAATGGGATTTCATTGCAGCTTTTTCCATTGTAAATAACTCTACAGGCACTTTATCAATGCTCCGTAGGATAATGTGATTGAAACAAATCCCAGTGTCATATAAGGTAGACTGTAGGCAGCTTTTAGAAGAAAAAAAACAAGATGTATTTTAGAAACAGTGATGCACCCATATGGTAAATCATGGCCAAAGTTAAAGATTTTCAAGAGTGGTCAAACACCAGTGCCAAAGCAATGGAGTCAAAACGGTTTGACCCGAAGAAAGTTCTTGTCATATGAAATACATATGTGACATATGAAATCCCTAGCAGCAAACCTTTCAAATGCTATGACCAAGGTTAAGGCTTTTAAAGTAGGTCAAACTCCAAGGCCAAGGTAGTGAGGCAAAAATTCTTGATGCATAAACAAAGGTCTTGTCACACGGAATACATGAGGAATTTAAAAGCTATAGCAACAACTGCTAAGAAAGTATGGGGGAATATGGCTAAAGTCAAAGGTTTTTTTTTTTTGTTTTGTTTTTTTTTTTTAAAGGTCAAACTCCAAGGTCAAATTCGTGAGTTCCAAAAATATTTCTATCCAAAGAAAGGCTTTATGACAAGGAATACACATGTATGACATGGAAGCCCTACTTCCAATCGTTCAAAAATTATGTCAAGGTTAAACATGCATACAGACAGACAGACAAAGGGACATACTAAAAACTGTATCTTCAATTACGGATGCAAAAAACTTAAACCTATTTCTCTCTCTGTCTTAGAATCAAGATGGATTGCTTTACGTAGAAGTACAATTTGATCCGGAAAAACAGCTAGGAAAACCTGTAATTCACGGAGAAGATGAAAAAACGGATTACGCAACAGTCGAGTTTTCAACTCCTGATTCACGTTCAGCACCCTGAAATGAAAAAAAGTCCAATTATTAGATGCAGTTTATGTATAATCCATTTGAATGTTTTCTTTTATATATGCTGCAGTGGCTTTTAGCTTGTTTCTTTTATGATTGTATTTACATTTTGATTTGATCCAGGTAAACTGTAATTCACGAAGAAAATCAAAAAAGAAACAAAAAAAACGGATTGTGCGACAGTTGAGTTTTATACTCCTGATTCACCTTCTTGTGTGATGCTTTTTTATTGTATTCATTTGCTTATTTTAATGATAATATTTACAATTTACATTGATTCATTTACATTGCATTGAAGACTGTTATTTTCTTAACTAGTTACAGTTTAATGTATTTTTGCATTCTAATATTTTTTTTATTTAGATTCTGTCTATCTATTGAAGAAATAACTTGGGAATTAAAAATAAGTTTGGAACATACAAAAATAGAAAACAAACACAGTGGTTGAAAAGCAAAAGACAGCATTGCTTCCTATTCTACACATTACACTTCTCCATACCACATCAAATGTAAATGCGCGCGATTTTTGTCAAGCTCAAAAAAGTTTCAGATTTTCACAGATTTCAGTAATAAATTTAACAAAAGAATAAAGGAACCATTGTCTAGTTTGTTTGGTGTACGTACCAGTGCAGCAACGATAGTTGGAAACGTGGGATAATTTTGCATAACGGGCTCTTCGCTCCTTATGCATAAATTATCCCACGTTTTCAAATGTCTCGTTGATGTCCATGGAATACCAAACAAACTAGACAGTGATTCCTTATACTTACATTTATATTTGAAATGAAAATGTAAATTTAATAAAAAAATGCTGTCTATTAGAATACACAAGGCATTCCATGTTAATTTCCATAGTCCCTGTCATTGACGTTAGACACAAAAAGCCGCGAGAGATTGACATGCATATTAGGACTTGACCGTTTACTTAGTAAAGTTTACATTCAGTTGTAAATATCGAGAAATCAATACACTTAACTGTCAAAGAATTTTCGCAGAAAAAAAAACAGTGGGAAATATGAAAATGATGGAAAAAATAGGAGAATGGTTATTGGAAGTGGAATATAATCACAATGTTTTTATTATTATTATTATTATTATTATTTGGCGTTGAAATAGTTCTCCGTCTCAAAATAAGACAAAATGTTTTTGGAAAAGCTGATTGGATTGGGTTTGCATTCAATTACGCTAAAACCATGCAGGATGTTTTGCTTGTTTGTTTGTTCAAATTTCATTTCAATATATATTTTGCCTTACAATATCATCACAGAGCGGGATTACATAAAATCTTACCTTTTAAAAAAGTGAAACGTCCGAGAGAGAGAGAGAGAGAGAGAGAGAGAGAGAGAGAGAGAGAGAAAGATTTGTCATTTTCTTCTTTGAATTTTTATCCCCCTCTCCGCCCACCCACAAACGTTCATATACGGTCAAAATCACTGAATGTCTTTTTTGAAGAAAACGAAAATTACAATTTAATTACAACGTAAAATATGTTTCTTAGAGAAGCGGATTCGAAAGATCTAATTGTAAGCAGATTGTAAAAATAAAGCCGAAAACCGATTTTAATTAAGTTAAATGGCTTATCAATTCATAAGACTAAATTGAAAAATTTCCACAATTTCATAATTTAAAAATACCGGTAATAGTTAAAAGCATAATTAAGTCAAAAAGTTATATATTATGAAAGATGTACACAGTTAAGATTAAGAAATCTAGTCATATATACAAATACATGTACAAAATCATTTAAAAATCTTTATAGGTGACATGACTTGTAAAAAATATAATTTGTAAACTTGTAAGTGCAAGAATTTAGACATTCTTTATCATTCTTAACAATAAGTTAATGTGTTGCTTGCTTGATTTTTTTTTTTTTCATTTTTAAATCATTTGTAACAATATTACTGTTTCGAAAATTATATATTTTGTATTTAGAACAGATTTGTTGATTCAAGTTTTTTTTTTAAATTAATTTAGACATTCTTTATCATTCTTAACAATAAGTTAATGTGTTGCTTGCTTGACTTTTTTTTTTCATTTTTAAATCATTTGTAACAATATTACTGTTTCGAAAATTATATATTTTGTATTTAGAACAGATTTGTTGATTCAAGTTTTTTTTTTTTTAAATAGTATTGATTTTTTATTGGAATCATTTTGATAAGATACTGTTCCTTTAAGGTCTCCATTTTTTCCCTCTAAAGATCACAAAAGCTGTAGGCTCAAAAGAGCTTTTCTGATCAAATTTGTCCGTTGTCCTTCGTTGTCATAAAACTTTCACATTTTCACCTTTTTTACTAGAAAAAAAATACTGAACCAGAATTGCCAAGAACAATTCTTTGGTGAAGTTAATTTAAATTGGTTAAAATGAAGGGCCACGCACTCTTACAAGGGGAGATAATTAAGAATGAGTGAAAATTTAATAGCATCTTTTTTTAATTTTCTTTCAAGAGCCACTGGGCCAGAAAAAAATCAAACCTTCATGTATTTGAAAGCTTCATCACATAGTGTAGATACTTATTTATTAAAATCATGACCCTGTAAAATCTTTTTTTTTAAAATCTTCTCAAGAAAAAGCAAAAGCAAGATAAGTATGGAACTATCCTCAGGTAATGTAGTTTCAAGTTGTTTTAGCTCATTTTCCCCGGGGTAAAGATGGGACAACAATTGACATAAGTTTTACAAAGGAATATATAAGGAAGAAATCTTTTTTAATCTTATCCCCAAGAGCAGCAAAGCAATGATTAGTCGTATCTATATGGAAGCATTCTTAGATACATGTAGTTAGGATTAAAGTTTGATCAAATCGTGATCCAAAGGGGGTGGAGTCACAAAAGTGATGGAAGTTGTACATATGAATATATGGGATTTATTTTTAACTAATCTTTTTTTTCAAGAACAGCAAAGGTACTCAGTCATATTGATATGGAATATGTTAGTTAGTGTAGATTAAAGTGTTTTTAAATTATCCCTCTGCATCAAAGGGGTATCGTGGGACCAGGCAATCAAACTTGACTTAAGAGTATATAGGAAAAAATCTGTGACGAAGAAAAGCAAGGCCATAATGACTTAGATGAGCGTTGGGGCCCATGATTCAGTAGGTTGATTAGGTAGTAGATAATTCAGTAGGATGAGATAATTTTGCTTTTTCTTTGTAAAATATAATGTTACTTGGTCAAATCAAGTAACTTTAAAATAATATTTGCTTCCATTCTTGGTTATTTCTCTTTTGTGATACTGTGTGTAGAAAAACATCAAATTATATTTTTGTACGAAATATTTCAGTCTTTAAGAGATGGCAGAGGAGACAAAGGACTGAGCCTCCGTCTTACAAGTAACTACTATAATTTTATCAAATACTGATTTGATTTTAAGGAAACCAAGCTTTTTTCCACTGCTATACCTAAAATCTGAAAAATTTGGTGAATCACTTGATAAAAAAAATAATATCATTTTCTGATAAGATTTCATGAAAAGTGAAATGTTGACGATCAAGTATGCCACTTCAATAATTGAAAGTTACAGTAAATGTAAACGAATGGATTCGCGTTGTTTCCACTTTAAGTAAATGAATGTTTTCAGTAATCGTTATAAATACATGTTAGTTAAAAATTATCATTCGTAAGGGGATAAAAAACCGTTTTGATATTTGTTTGTTTGGTAAGGTAGAAGTTTTTTTTTTCCAGCTTTATTGTTTGGTTATTTTTTCATGTTGATCATGTTTATATTCACTTTCTAACGAGAGCTTTTCTAATAAACATATATTTATGATTAATTGCAATTATTGATGTAATAAGCTTCGTATATATAAAAGTTACATGATGCTTTAGAATCACATTTTGACTGATAAATAAAAACTATTCAATATTTCAATACCACGATACAGTTTAACTCTCAAGTTTTAAAGAAAAATAAGGCTGGTATTGTAGAGCAATACCTCTTCCATATCATGTTGCAAAGAATTTTCCTGGATTAATAACTACAATAGCAAACTTTATTCCATGGGGGAAATTCTGCTTTATAGCAAAGATCTTCCTACACTTTAATTTTGCATGTGCATTTAAATCCATATCCACAATGGGTAACCTCAGAATCTTATGAATGTTTTCCTTCAAATTTTTATTGTCAATTTTTTATTCATTGTTTTCAGTATTTTCATCAGTTCAAAATCTTTCAGTCAGCTGTCCATTAAGCTGCGTTCTGCCAACCTTATATGATTATTTTTGTCACATTAAACAAAGCCTATGTCCCTTTTTTGTTCGCAAATAATTACTATTAGCATTATATATATAATCGAAAATAGTTTTGTAGAATTCTGTCGAACAGAAATAAGAGTATTTTCACGTGAGTTTTTGGGTCTAAAACCAGACTGACAATCTTTTACTAAGGAATTTACCGACAGGTACTCATAAAATGAATTAAAAACATGTCTCTCAAATTTGCTGACACAGGGTAAAATGGATACAGGTCGATAGTGGTTAACTTAAAACATTCATCCCCTGATATAAAATGATGTACAACACGTGCTTTTTTCCAGTCATCTACAAATTTACATGGAGATAAAGAAAAATGGAAAATATATGTATGAACATCACATACACTGTTTGAGGAAAGTTCTAAAGTTTGACAGATATATCATCCAAGCGTGTTGCTTAAGATACAGACATATGTTTTATCTCATTTGCAACAAATTCAGTAGTTAAATTTGGTATTGTAGAGAATTTTTGGGCATTTGTTCTTTAACAGTAAGTAAAGTGTCATCAAAATGTTTTCTTAACTCGAAACCAATGTTACAAAAATAATTATTAAAACATTCTGCAATATTTTTTGAATCTTTAAAAGCTATGTTATTGTCCTTACGAAATGAACAGGTTGTATTAGTTTTCTTAGATGGTAAACACATTGCTTAAGTTTGTCAAACATGTCTTTGAGATTGTTTTCTGCCTTGAAAATTGCTTCTTCGACAATTGAATGTTTAGCTTCTCTTATCTTACTCGTAACCCTGTTTTTTGATGCCCTGTAGAGACTCCAAACGT